GCCCTTTGAGCAGATGACGTCTAGCTGCATAAACCGAATGATGTCACGACAACTAACTTGTTTTAAACTAACTGGTTTAACTTCACACCAGAACTTTCAGTTCATGGCAGCCTAGAGCTGGCGTTCGAGTTTCTTACTGTTGATCAGGCAAAGGGCTGTCTTCGAGCAGTGTTTAATTCACTCCTGCAGACCTTTTGTAGATCGATGATAACGAACGTCTGCGTCACTGTTGATACGCTGTCGTATTATTGAGTCACATGGTTGGGGTGTTCTGTTGTGTTTATGGACGTTTTTAATAAGCTAGAGGGAGGGAAAATTTGAAATTCGTGTGTGCATATAGTCCACACGAATGTGTTTTTTGTGGTTCGGGACTCAGTTTTCTTTACTTTTTTGGTCTAACTTGGTTTTATCCCTGATGTAGAAGCCAGATGTTACTCCCAGCCATGGCAAGCTTCATCTGGAATAATTCATGGCAAATTGTACTCTTGCCTGCTTGATCTAAGTGAAGAATATTGGCTCTTCCAGGATGGCTTATGCATACAAACCCTTGCACTGTGGTCATGGAAAAACTAATATCTGAAATGGCACACATAGGATGTCTGCTGTCAGTGCAGAGGGCAAAATCTGAAAGCCCATGTAGGAGTTGTCTGTCCACGGGAGGAATTTTGTGAGTAAGATCTTTCTGTGCCTGGGTTGGGTTCTGTGGAGCACTAAGGGCTCTCACCGCCTGTTGTGGCAATGGTGTAATATTAACCAGCTTGTAAGATTGGTCTGTGTTGTTCGAAACAGCCCTCAAAGGCAGCCTGCCGTTTGGAACTCATAAACCCCGTTTAGACAACTTATTTGCTTGTAATTACCAAGGCAGTATGTTATGGATAAAAGGTTTTGTGACACAGGTGAAATTCTTACCTCCATTGTTGGTTTGTCTGAAGCTAAGGGAAATGTGTTAAAATAAAAGTTAGTGTCCTGATTGTTTTTGCATAAAATTTGCACGCGATAGCTGGATAAATCTATCAAATGCTTATTTTAAAATTTAAAAATAATTTTTAAAAACCTTGAAGACCAGCAGAAATCATTATGAAAGCGTTAGCATAAATGTAGACCCAGAACTACTCATTATGTCGTTACAAATCCCAAACCCAGTCATGCCACTGAAACCCACAGCAGCACTGGGCTCACCCCTTCCTTCTCCCAGTTACAAAACGTTTGCATTTCCAAAGCACTGTAGCAGACTCCCGAGTAGCCTGAGCTGTTTGGGAATGATGCCAAATAGCCCCTTGGGAAAGATGGAAAAATGGCAGTAGCCCGAGGTCACCTTCCATCGCACTGTGCCTCCTTTGGCACACGTGCTGCCGAGGGCACAGCTCCAGCGGCCCTGGAGATGGCATTGTGCAGAGCAGGGAGCTGCGGGTGGGTAGTTGGGGCTGGCACAGAGCCACAGGGTTTCTGGCTCCTCTCTTCCCTGTGTGAGTCCAGCCTGCTTGGCCGGTGCGGGAGGAAGGGCAGGCAAATCCGTGTGGGTAAAGGAGCGAGGGAAACGGATCTGCCTCAAAGTTCTGGGGAAATGAAAGACTTTGGGTATCTTAAAAATAAGAGTAATTTTATCCGAGCAAGACATTTTTAGGTTCTGTATAATGATCTACAAATGATTAGACCGTCCTTTTGAATATCGAAAAAGCGCATTTCAACTTAAAATGCTCTGGTCTTCTCAGTTCTGGATGTATTTCTCTGAGAACACATAGGTAACTGGATAAAATAATTTTCCACGTTATCTTGGCTGAACTAGACAGCGTGAGTTGCGTATTCCTCAGCCCTGTGGCAGCACGATTTACTTCAAGCAGGTTTGTCCAACTTCTCGGTAAACTGAAAATGTGTCTTTTAATTCCAAGCACAAGGCCCGTCTCGTTTTCCTGTGCCGTGCAACGGTGGTCAACTCTGAAAAAGAGCAGTTGCTGCTCCTCCATGGCACTGGTATTGTCGTGGCGCCGGAGCGCTCCGGGCGGGCAGAGCCAGGGGCGTGCAGCTCAGCGCCGAGCTGGGAGCTGCCTCGCCTGGCCCAGAGCAGGGACTGGGAGTCGGGCTGCGCCTGCTGCGACACTGGTGAGGAGGAGACACCAGTGGGCATGCATTTCAGGAATTGGGCTGTGTGTTCCAGACCTCCATCCTGTCTCTTGTCGGCGTTACACCCCGACACAGAGAGGGTCTGGTGGTGGCGGTGGGATCCCTTCCCTGAGAGACCTTCCTCAAGGAAGGTCTTTCCTTGAGGAAGGTCCTCAAGGAAGGTCTCTTCCCTGAGAGACCTTCCACGGCGCGTGGGAGAGGGAGTAAGCAGCTTTTCTGATTGTTCTGCAGCAGTTGCAATTTTGAGTCTTCTTAATTAGTGTGATAACCTCTAAAAGAGTTTGTTTTCTACTTTGATTTCTCTTTCCTGGTGCTGTTATGATTCACTCTTGGGAGATCTGGAAAACCGCTTCAGGCTTCCTAAACTTACGCAACAGTTCACAGCTGGAAATCTGACCTACTTCAGAGCTGCTCTTACCCAGCTGAGAACGTCTCCAAGAATGAGCTGCAGCCATGTAAAGTTCCCAAGTGCTACCCATGGGTTAAGGGAAGAAATTATTTATTAGGAAAATCTGAAGTTTGTACTGTGAGGAGGAACAAATAGTACACTGTGAACCAACAAACTCAGTCCTTAGAGTAGATTAAAAAAAAGCTTACTTAGATAAAGAACTGGGCGTGGAGACTTCCACGGAATGGAAGACAGTGTATGCAATTGCTTCTAAACAGTGCTGGGAAAAAAGTGAAAGGATCTATTTGAAAGTGAACAAAACTGCTGCCACTTGTGGATTTCTGTAGCTTAAAAAGGCGTTTTTCGGTTTTGATTCAAGAACAAGCAAACGTTCCGTGCGGGCACCTTTTTTTCTGAGGTGTCAATTATTGTGCCCGTGTTTGAGACAATTTTCAGCGCTCGGTGTGTTGGTGAGCGACCTGCTGTGGTTTGCTGGCGCTTCCTCTGCCCCCTTCGCCTCCGTATCCAAGCAAAACACAAATGTTCTTCCCTTGGCGAAGCAAAAAGTGTTTCAGGTGCACGTGCGTGTGCGCCGGGGGGCTGTGACATGAAAGGCCGGGAGTAAAAGTGTCTGTGGAACAGGGACACATGGTCCTTGGAGACTCAGTCCAGCACGTCAGCTTTGGTTGTATCCTGTTCTGTTGGCACTTACAGAAAATAAGGGCTAATTCCCTCAGACCTGCAAAGAGGAGACTGAGAAGAACCAAACGCTTCCAACTGGCAGTAGCGGGTTGGGTGCTGCCAGCTGTGCCTGGGTTGTTTCCTGTGGGGTGGAAAGGGCCGGGCTTTAAAACACTGCTGGGTGATCTCGGCCAGTGGATCTCCATGTTGATAGCTGATGGCCATATTCAGATTAATTTGGGAGTCCACGGAAGCCTGAGCTCTGAGCACAAAAGGGTTTGGTGACTGAAGTGCTGTGGTCACTGAATCTTTACTTATTTTCTTCCCTGCAGGGCACTGTTCGAAGGATTATTATCGAGAATCCTGACCAGGTAGGAAAACTTTAGTGCTGGAGTACTTGGTAAAGCGCTCAGCTGCCTCCCTCAGGGCATGCCGAGATGGGATCGGATGGTTTGGAATCACACGGGCCGAGCCTCTGATGGCCAGAGAAATTGCTGGGATGTGAAATTATCACAGAACGGCCTGTCAGGCGTCCCGCCTCTCGCAGGGATGTCCCGCGGGGCCTCGGCACAGATCAACTTCCACCGTGTTCCTTTCAAACACTGCCTGGATGGAGGCAGTCACTGTTTCCAAATGGACACACACTCATAAAGAACTATCTCCAAGTGGGTGTGTCTTCAAATGACAAAAATCCCGCATCATCTTTTAGTCAAAATTGCGCTAATTCTGAATTTGCTGTTGGACAACATTTATGAATGTTTTTATTAAAATGTTTTCCAGGAGCCATTATCCCCGTTTCTCAGAGGGGGAAGTTTCTGTCCTGGAAACAATGTCATCTATGAAAAGACAATAAGAAAATATGAGCTATTAAATCCCCACCAAGTAAGTTGGTTGTTTAAATTATCTATTGCAAAAGAAAACTGAGATGGTACCTGAAGAGTAACGTTCCCAAGTTGGGGTTTTTTTGTTGTTGTTGGGAACTGCTGCTAACGTAAGAATTGCCATGTTGAATTATAGGGCACATTCTTAAAGTAAATGAAACAATTTCTGTATGTAAGGAGAGCAGAATTTGGAAGGTTTGCTGTATTTTTACTAAGAATTTATTATTTCAGACTAATAATGAAAACTGCTTGGTATCTCTGGCACTGTTGGTCTTTATGTGAACAGTGACTGAGAATTAGTTTCTTGCAGTAGCTCCACAACAGAATAACCAATATAAACTTTTACATGAAATGAATTGAAAAGACCAGTTGTAGCTTCAATTTTCTTTTTTTTTTGTTTTTTACTAATTGTTGAAAAAATCTACTTGGTAGAACTGTCTGAAATTTCATGTTCAGATTGGTGTTTTGTCAGTAGCAAAAATAGTTCCTCTTTTATTGCTCTGAAATACTGTTATTTTCAACAGGAAGAATTTTGAAATGAAGACAATTTCCAAGTGATTAATCTTATCTGTTTGGGTGTTTTGTTTGTTTGATTTGACTTAAGCTTTCGTTCCATTCTGGATTTTAGATAGGTAAGTTAGGTGTGATACCCATACCCTAGGGCGGAAAGGGAAAAAACTTGAGGTAATGATGAACCCACAGAATAATAGTGTGGAGTCTAGTCCTGCAAACTGTATTTCTACTTCTCATTCTTGTTACCCAGAGTAAACGTAGGCTTAGGTCAAATCAGGAGCCTGGTTTTGAAGAAAATTTCCCAGTCTCCTAACACATATCACACCTTGCGCTGTGGCCTCGGACCACACAAGCTAGATTTCTCTCGGGTAAAATGAATATGTGTTGGAAGAGTGCACCCAGTGTGCAATGACCGCACGTGGGTGTGGGGCCCATTCCCAACCTGATGTAAAGCCTCCTCAGATGTGTGCGGTATCAGTGCTGGGGCCTCACTCCACTCCTCTTGTGTGACTGGAGACTCCGAGTTCTGATTTTGGTGCAGAATTAGATGTTAGCTCAACCTGTTAAATGTAACTGCGTTGTGAATTTCAAGTCAAAATCACCCCAAGCCTAGGATGTGCAGTTGCATGCTTCTACAAAACACATAGTTTTGAAGTAAACTTTAACAGCCATGATCTAGAGGAACAAACTTGCTAAAATTGGTAACTTTCAGTGTTTTGCCTGGAACTTTACTAGTTTCTAGTTTATTGTTTTGGTGGATGGTTTTGTAAATAGCACTTCCCGTGATTATACAAACAAGACAGGTGTCCCATATATATCGTGCACTCTGAATCTGGAATTGCTGAAAGCATTTCTAGAGGAGGATGTCTTGAGCCATGTCCTGTACTAGATTTTTTCCTAACTGAAATAATGAAAACTCGGTTCAACTGGAGCTCTTTCTTATTTCTGAAACACTTAATGAAACAGGATTTGCGTGTGTTTTGCATTAAATGCTGGATGTCCCTGTTGCCTGAGTATGCCAAGAGTAACACCGTACTGAAACGCACAACTCGGGGAACGTGACTCTGCTGAGCTTTTCATTTTCAGCTACTAAAATTCGAGGACTTGGTGAATTACAACCTCGACGTGTGGAAGTGTAAGGCAAACTCATGGTCAGTTGGGAAAAAAGCAGTTTTATTAGGATTATTAAAATACCTGAACCTGTCGTAGTCTTTACATGCAAACCCACATCTTTATTCATTTATGTGTTCATATTCAGCTTCCATCTCATTAAGGTGTGTTCAGCACCTCAAAAAAATCCATTCTTGTTTCTAGGAGAAGCAGTACCAATTCTCCCAGATTCCCCAGCAAGCCGATCACTGCCACGTTGTCCAGCCCTGCCAGCACTCAGAGCAGTCCCAAGTCACTCACCAGTGCCAGCAGACACAGACCAGCAGCCCCTGTGAAATAATTCCAGTCTCTGTGAGCGATGACAGCAGAGGAAGTACAGTGAGGCGGGTAACAGTCCAAACCTGCGAACCGGTGAGAATTTTGCTGAATGTTTTACTGTTGCAGTGTGGTTTTGCTTCGTGTGCAGAGTACAGAACTTTACACATAATTGGTAATCCTCAATCTCACCAGTTTTTGTTCAAAATCACAGGAGGGTCATTAAGCACCACACACCTGTTGTAAGTAAGCAGCAGTTTGCGTGTCGGTTGTAGGTAGCTTCTTTGTATGCTGTGACTGCAGACGTTGTCCAAGACTTTGTCACGTGCTGTTAAGGAAAGGGGGAAGAAAAGAAAAAAGAACTATTTTAGGTGTTGTATCCTGTTTCTTGTTGGCTAGACCTGTGCTTAATTGTACTGACTGATTGTCATTCTGTTGTCATTTAAATGTGTCAAGTCTTACTGGTTTGGCTTTTTATTTTTCTTTGTCTGGGAGCGTTACCCATGGATTGAGTCAGGTTTCATCCGTCAGTCTCGGTGCAACAAAGGCTGAGTAATGTAAGGCCTGTGCCCCGAGTTGTGGAGAAAAGGTACATTATGTTGTACACTGGGCAAGCACCAGTTCAGCATGGCTTTCTGCCTAACCTGATCAGGAAGGGCTCTAAGTGTATTTCAATTGGATGTAGAAGTATTGGACGGATGCACTGGGAGCACACAAGTAGCCTCCTTCGCCCTTCGTTGTACACCAGCTTGCAATCCCGGCGGGCGGCGGGAGGCTCGCTGTGCGTGCGCGCTGTTGTTGCTGTTGTGCAGCAGTCCCTCCTGGGCACCTGTGCCGGGTACCGGTGGCAAGACAAGTGTACGTGGTGACCCCCGCGTGGGACCTCCCATGGCCAGATGCTGCCATAAAGCAGCTCCGTCCGGGCTGCTGCCTGAACCACTGTTCACGTACAGAAACATGGAAATACAAACACTGTTTCTGCAGTGGGGAATCTTGCACCTGGCTCGTTTTGTGTGGGTGCTGCCCACGGGTGTTTTACCCACTGAAGCTATGGCAGCATGCATGCTAATGAGATTTCCTGATTCTCAATGCGTTCCATGTTAGTGTAGTGACGATGACGTTGCTATAGAAGATGCTACTTTGCGTATTACTTGTTGTAAAGACAGTCATTTATTTCTGTCTCGTTTCCCGAAAACCTGAAAGACATGGAAGACTCAATACCAAGGAAAAGAACAGTGTAAACAAATGGCAGATCAAACAGCCCCAAACTGATCACACTGGTAGCACTTTCGTGTTCAGCTCTCATCCCGAGGAAGGGAACTCCACTGTCACCTTCTTGCACACTTTCTGCCAGGTGAACGGCTCTCCGGAGAACAGCGACCAGCTCGACTGCCGCTACTTCGGGGAGCTCC